AGAGGGAGAGTGAGAGGGAGAGGGAGAGGGAGAGGGAGAGGGAGAGGGAGAGGGAGAGGGAGAGGGAGAGGGAGAGGGAGAGGGAGAGGGAGAGGAGAGGGAGAGGGAGAGGGAGAGGGAGAGGGAGAGGGAGAGGGAGAGGGAGAGGGAGAGGGAGAGGGAGAGGGAGAGGGAGAGGGAGAGGGAGAGGGAGAGGGAGAGGGAGAGGGAGAGGGAGAGGGAGAGGGAGAGGGAGAGGGAGAGGGAGAGGGAGAGGGAGAGGGAGAGGGAGAGGGAGAGGGAGAGGGAGAGGGAGAGGGAGAGGGAGAGGGAGAGGAGAGGGAGAGGGAGAGGGAGAGGGAGAGGGAGAGGGAGAGGGAGAGGGAGAGGGAGAGGGAGAGGGAGAGGGAGAGGGAGAGGGAGAGGGAGAGGGAGAGGGAGAGGGAGAGGGAGAGGGAGAGGGAGAGGGAGAGGGAGAGGGAGAGGGAGAGGGAGAGGGAGAGGGAGAGGGAGAGGGAGAGGGAGAGGGAGAGGGAGAGGGAGAGGGAGAGGAGAGGGAGAGGGAGAGGGAGAGGGAGAGGGAGAGGAGAGGAGAGGGAGAGGAGAGGGAGAGGGAGAGGGAGAGGGAGAGGGAGAGGAGAGGGAGAGGGAGAGGGCGAGGGAGAGGGAAGAGGGAGAGGGAGAGGGAGAGTGAGAGGGAGAGGGAGAGGGAGAGGGGAGATGGGAGAGGGAGAGGGAGAGGGAGATGGAGAGGGAGAGGGAGAGGGAGAGGTAGAGGGAGAGGGAGAGGGATAGGGAGAGGGAGAGGAGAGCGGAGAGGGAAGGGAGAGGGAGAGGGAGAGGAGAGGGAGAGGGAGAGGAGAGGGAGAGGGAGAGGGAGAGGGAGAGGGAGAGTGAGAGGGAGAGAGGGAGAGGGAGAGGGAGAGGGAGAGGGAGAGGTAGAGGGGAGGGAGAGGAGAGGGAGAGGGAGAGGGAGAGGGAGAGGTGAGAGGGATAGGGAGAGGAGAGGGAGAGGGTAGAGGAGAGGAGAGGGAGAGGGAGAGGGAGAGGGAGAGGGAGAGGGAGAGGGAGAGTTAGGAGGATAGAGTGAGAGGGAGAGGGATAGGGAGAGGGAGAGGAGATTAAGGTAGATGGAGATGGAGAGTGATATGAGATGGTAGAGGGAGAAGGTGAGAGATTTGGATGAGGTAGATGAGTAGTTAGAGGTATATGGAGATGTAGAGATGTAGATTGAGTAGTGATATTTTATATTTATATTTATATTTATATTTATATTTATATTTATATTTATATTTATATTTATATTTATATTTATATTTATATTTATATTTATATTTATATTTATATTTATATTTATATTATAATAACCTTTGCAGGTTAATTATATTATTATTTCATGCCAGCACGGCTTTAAAAACGTTTTTTTTTTTGAGCTTACTTCAAGGTTCAAAAAATAATTGACTTTAAAAATGCTTTTGACTCTGAATTAATCATCTTTTGAAATGAATGATTAATATCCAGTTAGGTCCCCACTTGATCTTTTAAAAAGGATTTTTAGTTATTTGCATGGCATTCTTGCCAATCAAAATAACAATATACAGCGCAGAAGGCGGGAATGCGGGCAGTCAAATGGTAAACAGTGTACGTTGGACCCAAGCAAAGCGGAGCGACCTCGCAGAATCTTGGAAACGAGCGGAACGCGCGCAAAAAGGGAAATAACGGGATCGCCGCGGTCTAGAAACGGCCGACGCAAGTGCGGTTTGGGCGGTCAGATGAACACCTGCACGAGGATAGTCAAGAAGGGGACAGGCCAGACATTCCGACAGAGTCCGAAGGCGTACGCGAGGTATACCAGTACAGTAGAACACGTCAAGCAGTCCACCAACGACGAGATAGTCTACAAGGCTGAGGTTTTCAAAAAAATATGCGGGTGGTAAAGGAGGAGACGATAAGTTCCTGGCGTGGTGAGAATGGGATTATGGAGCCCTTTATTGGTATTCTGTGACACGAGCTGTCAGAACAGACGTGCGCTTCCGGGTGTTTTGCTACGCTGGTTCTGGGAAGAGCTCTGGTTCGACCTATCGGCGCGTAACTTCCCATAGTAATTATACACCGGCAATTGCCAAAATGAACCAGTCGGTAAAACAGAGTCGGCGGAATTAGCCGACAGTATTAGAATATTCTGTATGGACAGACATCAAAAGAATTCTTACTAACGAAAGTCCCTGACTAGTTTAAATACGGAGCGATCGGGAACACCATCATGTTCTAGAAAATATCACGTATAATGGTGAAACACACGTGAAAGTAGTACCCAAATATCATAATCAAAATTAAAAGAATATAAACGGAGAAGTGCAATATTCAAAGAGGAAATTAAATTCAATTAATTGCAAAACAAAATAATGGCCAAACAAAACGAAAATGAGAAATGAACCATTGCATTTTGAGCCGCAGAAGAAAAATATAATGAAAACCGAACCAAATGTAGATTAAATGGACAAATGGACATTATCTCAATGCAAAATCGAGATTGATCTATTTTATAATCTTATCCTCGGAGTTCGTAAGAGTAGGTCTAATGAACAAGATCAAAACTTACAAAAGGTGCTGGAATCTTTCTGTTTAAACCTAGTCATGAGGAAATGGTCAGCATGCTTAGTTCAAGGAAGCAACGGTACCAAGGTGAACTTTAGACCAGGAAAAAGGTAAAACCTTGGACTTTGGACCTGGAGACATCAAGGAATAACTGTTAAAAAAAACCGATACTACGAAGTGGAAACGCCGAACCAACCTGAAGACATAGAAAGTTGGAGGTAACCGATAAAGGAAAATAGTGTGACCAGATGACGAAAGCATAAAGGTTGGTGAAACGAGGAACGCCTTCGCGGAAAGCATGTAAAAAGAGAAAGTGAATGTGTGCAGATTTGTTGTATGGGTCTTAAAAAAAGGTTAATTATGATTGTATGCACGCTTTCTAAAAAAATTTTGTGACCAATAGTAGTGTTTTTCCGAACCTTTTATTAACTGCTGATCATAGGAAAAGTTAAGTTATTTTCGTGAAGGCTGCGTAATGATGTGTATCATGTGAGCTGCCTAACAGTAGCGTGTTTTGTACGCCTTAGATGATTTTTCAATAGCCCAAGACTAATAAACTGTAAAGGTACCGCTGAGGGCATATTACCAGCTTTAATCCACCTTAAGCTTAGCTGAGCTCGCTTGCTACACCGAGCCTTGTGTCAATTTATTTTAGTTTGGAGCTTTTGCTATCTAGATCATCACTGGTTCGGCCACAAAAACTAGTGCACTATTTCAACATACACGAAATAATTTATTTTCGGGTATTCTGTCTTTATCCCCCGAATGCATTCGTTATGGTAGGAGACATGTTTTCATATTGCTTATCACCCAACGTTTCTAATCGATTTGGGAGCAGTACGGCTGCAGACTTAGCGTTACTAAACGAGCATGCCAGAATGATCAAAAGTTCACCTTCTACCCTCAATTCAACGAAATCATTATAACACACTGACTTAGACTAAAAGAAGTAGATATACGTTCCTCAGCTAGTGAAAGTGCTAGGGAGAAATTTCAACAAAATTGATGAACTGGCGATAGAAATTGGCAAGACAAATAAATATAAAAAAATTAAAAAATTGTTTACAAGTGTGGGCGTGGCAGTTTTGTGGTAATTAGAGTAGGAGTGACCGCTAGAATCTGCATGTCTTAACCTAACTTTCTATCCGTTATGTTCCGGAGACCACAGCGTTCATACGGACAGACAGACTTGGCCAGATTGACACGGATATTGATCCTGGTTTGAATGATCAGGATAACGACATATGATATATGCAACTATTATTAAGAATATTAATGCACATAATATTTGTAAAGATAAATGAAAAGTATTTGTTCAAAACTTGTCGTTTTCAGGGTTTATCCAAAGATATCTCCGTGAATGTAGGGATGGATGGCAAAACACAAGAGGCACATACAGACTGGCTAGCTAGCATATAGCTAAGACAGCTTTTAAAATTAGGAAAATTGGTAATAACCAGCATTAAGTCTTCTGTGTTTATCAGCTTGGTGCTTCAGCTAAAAATAACAGGAAAGGTTTCTTTTTACCATATATGTATATTTTTACCAATTTTTTAATTGACAATAGATTTATAATTTTCAGTCGCAGTGCGCAACACTGAAACGTACACTTTAAGTTAACCTTTGCCTTTAATTTGGAAATGTAAAAATAAAAGTAGACCTCACAAACTCAGCAAACACTTTTACGCTGAATATGAGTGACGCATTCGCCGCCCTGCAGGAGCTGGTCAAAAAGAAGCAGATCACTAGCATTTGCTTTGTTAACTCGATAACAAATTGGTTATAAATTATACAGGGAAACGTATGACGTCATCGATGCTTTTAAAAGGGGGAAGCCGTCAAAAGCGAGTTTATTTATCCCTTTCCTAGCACACTCAAAGAAAGTCAAATGTTTTTTATTCACCAAAAAGGGTAAATATAATTTTTTTTATTTTTGGGCATATTTTTTTGTTTTATTTTGTTATTTGTTATATTAAGACAAAATTTGTTTAAAAACAAAGATTTGAAAATGCTTCAACAAGTCTCTAGCCAGCTGTTCAGGAAGGAGGACTTAGGTTATTTAGGAAAATTAGCTCGATTTTCTAAAAGTAGTGGAACTAAAGTTTCTCAAATCGTGCTTTTAAACAAAAAAAAATTAAAAATGGAAAAATTTTGTTTTGGTAATATTGTTTGATCGCAGCGTGTGTTTCGTTTTTCTTCAATTTTATCACGTTTAGTTAGGAAATTCATATTTTGTAAAATATGTATAGGTATTAAAATAATATTTTATAAACAAGCGTTTGCAATATTGTGGGCTTATATATATTAAGTTTTAAATCTTGTTATGTTTTTCGTTTTGAAAATAGTTGATATAAAAATACCCTTACGTTTATCAAGTAAAATAAGTCAAGTAAAATAAAAAATTTATTTTGAGAATAACTTACTCTCGTACAACTTTTTTTCCTTGTCGGCATCTAGCCTGTCAAGAGCGGAACGCAGGTTGCTGCGTTCCTCATCATCAAGGTTGCATAGCAGCTCCATCGCCCGATCCGTGGACAGATGGTTGCTAAACTTTGAGTAGTTCCGGCATTTAAATGGGCTAGATGTAGAAGACGGCGGGATTATCAGTTGCGCCCTCAACTCTCTACCACAGGGCCACGACTGCCTTATAATGTATTGTCGCGTTAAGCCCCTAAAAGCGGCTTGAAATGTATTTCGCATTATTGGCGTTCTTTTAGTTTTCAATACTTTCTTAGATAAATACAATCCCACGTCAAATAATCTGAGCAGAATAGTCTAAGGATGTCCTGTTGACAGTAAAACATATACTATCACGCATGATAAAGTACACACACAACTCACTATTTCACAATCGCGAACAAATTTACTTGCGATTCGAATGTATCGGTTTGACTGTAAAGCTTTCTTTCAACCAGTGCAGTATATTTTTTTTGCGTTTCTTTATCAAATGGAGGGAAGTTTTCTTAGGTGATGTATTGCATTTATACATTCCCAATCAAGTGCAATAACAAAAATGGGGTTGAATCTATAAACAACGAACGGTAACATTAGGCCAAATACTAAAATAAATAGGGTATTCCCAAAATTGTTGGATCGCTACATCAAACTTATTTGTATAGGTAACTGTATATTATATATATATATTGTGTTATAATATTATTTTAAAACTTATGTTGACATTATTTTTAAACGATATATTCATGTCACTCTTAAATTTACACCTACGTGTGTTATGCGTTTCATCACCAGTTCTATGTTTACAATAAAAGAAAGAAGAAGACAAAATTTCTAAGATGATCAAGGATATAAAATTTGAGTAGTTTTTATTTTGGGTCAACATTTGTGACAAGAAAAATGATATTATACAACAGGTTCAAAACATTTCTCCAAATTTCGGCGTGACTGCGGGTTGAGTGCTAGAGTGCGCGTGAAAAAGAAAACGGCGGCACAATTATTCAATTTTTTTTTAAATGCATAATAAATTTTATAAGTTTGGCCCATGCAATAAGGCACGAATCATATTTAGTTTATAGGTTTTATAGTTCCCGAGATACTGACGGACATGGTCACATCGACTTGGCAACGATTCAATTTATTCTCTTTTAACGAATCTGGTAATGAATCTGCAGCACTACTACCATGTACAATTATCACCGTTCCTTTTTCAATTGCTATTTAAAAGGCGCTACATTGACACACAAAAAAAATTGGAAACCATACATTAATGTTTTCATAAATTTTGAAACATGAAAGATGCGAAACGTGCGCTTATTTTTTAAAGTTAAAATTGATCATAACACTTAAACAATTATTTATTTGTTCAGCAATTCCTTTCAATTAATTTATGAAAATATAATTAAAATTTATTAATTTTTTTTCTAAAAGCTTGTCAACATTTCTTGTCATTAGGGCAGCTCGGCGGTTGGTCACGGCTTATCCAACCGTTTAATGTCGTAACATAACTCTAAAAATAATATAGAATTCCAAATTAGACATTAAATACAAAAAAGTAAGTGGTTTTTTATAGGCATGGATGGTCATTAGTTAAATTAATGCGGTAGTTGTAAATTTGTCAAGTTGGCTGTACATTTGACTGTACTGCGTGGCTGGAAGATCGTATTTCGCGAGCCACTCGAGTTTTATGGCCAGGTTTTAATGTTCACTTAAATACACTGTAATTAAATGTTGCTATTGGTATAGGGTACTCGCTACAGCGATATATGCATTTCCCTCCTTTTTAAAACATATATATTATATAGAATATATATAATATAGTGAAGTTATTTTCTACCTATTATTTTTTAATAAAGTAATATATGTGTATAAGTATATATACTTATTTATATATATCTTGTTGTCGCGCGTTCAAAGATGCCATAAATAGCTACTCCACACTGTGGATCCCGAAGAAATGGGCATACTATTTCTTGGTAGTATGCTCGTTTTCATTTGAAGAATAAGTTTAACCTCGGACATTAGTAAGTACTTAAGTAAGCTCACCGCAGTGTGTCCTACTTTTCGCTCGACAATGAAAAGCTTCATTTTCCCGGGAAGTTACTGGCGAAAACAGTATGCCCAGACACATTTGGGCATACTTTAACATTCGGACTTGTTCACGAATTCTAGTTCACTTAAAAATAATAACTATACCTATTGACTATAGTATTCGATCGTCGACATACAGAGGTGGTCAATTGTCAATTCAATTGAAAAAAAAGCTCGTTGTGTAAATACTTTTGACCAACGCTGTAATTAAAGTTTTGTCAAATAAAAGAAGTTACGAATCGGGTTGGATTAGTTCTTTGAAATAATTAAATTAGCCGGCTTGGGTGGCGCAAATACGTCACTGGCTGGGATTGATGGATATGGTAGTGGTAATGGAGCTTTTTCCATTTCTATTTGTTGTGATGTGTTTTGATTTCTTATTTTGTATTTTATATACATTTGCCATGCCGCCCACAAACTCCCAGAACTGTCACGAATCCACACTTTTAAAAAAATATTTTAAGTTTTTTATCATTTTATTATTTTATCTCCAATTTCTACCGATATTCCAGAACATGCGGAAATTTCTCTTTCGGACTTCCACTATCTGACTATGGCATTGACTATAGCATTCTCTCTTGTTTTTTATAATATACTCGTTTATTTTTTCACTGACATTAATGCCTTTAAATCATCATTTCTTTTTCGTATCTTACACCACAGATCAGTAAGTCAGGTTTACTCCGCTGCTTACTCGACTTTTCACTCTTTATATTTATTATATATTCTAGCGTCTTCGCGAAAGGCATCTCTTCCACAATTTCCTAAATTAAATTTTGAAACTTCCATATTCTGAGGCAATATCGATACGTATCGATCAGAACAATTCAAAATAGATTTTTTTAGCTGTTTAAAGGTAGTTCCGAATTAACTAATGATAATAAGCAAGTTGTTTTTAAAGAACATTTTGAAAGGCGAAGACGGACACTGATTAACTTTGCGCTAGGTCAGCGACCCTTTGAGACCCTTATTATGTTTTTTTTGTTTTTCCATCTATAAATGAATAAGAAAAGCAGTATCTTTTTTTCTGTGTTTTTGTGTACAACTTTGACATAAGAAGATTTTTTATTTTTGTTTTTTCTTGTATAATATTTGATATTTCTTTTTTTATGTGTTTTTGTGCCCTGAGCTTTTAGGGCAGTAAGCACTGACAACTGACGAACGGTACAAACCTAGTTATTTTACGGGCACTTATAATATTTATTCTCGTTATGTTAGAGAGGTAAGAGGCTTACCAAGATCCCACGCCTCGAATACGAGGAGCTTACGCTGACATAGGTAACTGAACATAGGGTGCATTTCCCTCGGACCAAGTCCTTCTCCAGGCAAGAACATTAATATGCCTACCTTAACATTGATATAAGCAAAAACGGTAATACATTCAAAACAGTTTTAACGTTTTTAATTAAGAAATCAGTAGATCATGATTCTTGAGGAAAAGTTGATGCATATAAAAAAACGCAGACGTAACACTTTTGATCAAAACCAAAAGGTACAAGCCAAAAAGCTTTTAAAAGTATCGAAAATTTCAGACATCGAAGTAACATTGACAGAACAAAGGCTAAACAAAGCACTAAACTTCCCTAAAAGAGTATTGCATTCTAACGGTGACCGATAGCCGCGGGTGAAACAAATATCGTCCGGAATGAGCACTAAAAGAGGGAAATCTGACCCAGTAGGCGAGGTTGGTAGTCCGGGAGGGGTAAAACATTGATAGAGTGCATCCACGCACACTATGATAGGAGCGATGCGCTGGCCTTGGAGTTGGTTCTCGACCTATGGGAGAGTAATGAAAGAAGGCAAACGTGAGTCCGTTCCGAATGGAACCTAGAAATAGGAATAAGAAAATTTACCTGGGTTTCAGAGGGGCAGAACCGCCTTCCAGCGGACCCGGGATAGCCTCTTTTGTAGCCGGAATTGTTCCTTTCTGCACTCAGGAGAGTTTTTTCCTTGATCCAGATACCCACGTCGATCCTAACCTCGAAGGCTAAGCCCAATCCCGCAGAAAAACCAATACAAAAAAAATTGATGCGGCAATATTCATTTAATATTTAACAAATACATACATATATTTAACAAAAAACACAACTAAAAGCAAAATGTAAAACAAATCGCAGGGAGTCCAAGCAACAAAATTAATCTTAAAAATCTAATTTATACAACATATATACAACGTATATATATCCTCGAGGAGACCGATCTTATGTGGGGAGTATTGAATAAAAGCCATTCAACCCGTCTCAGCCGCTTGGAGCTTCAAATAGGCAGGCAACTATGAAATGAAAGTGAACGTTGAATTATTCCATTCCATATACATATATGTATATATATATATTTACATATATTCGCATACCCGTACAATATTTTCGTGGCGTCATCTTCCTGATTTTTGCGTCGCTTTGGTTAAATTTTTGCTTCGGCAAACGGCGATGAAATACTAAAATTAAAACAAAATTTTTAATTAGTAAAAGTGGTTTAAAATGGTCAAATAAGTAAATATTATAATGATGATGAAGTGCTAGAGTCCATTATTTTGGGAGGAAAAGATGAGAAGATGATCCGGTAGCCATGAAAATCCGATGGAAAACATGCCAGGGAGATCCGAGTGAACATGGATCCGGACCTCAGGATCAAGACCCGATATATAATATGAATAATATGATATGAAAAAAACAAAGCAACAACACCACCCCAACAGAGAACGTGATATTGTTCTTGGTCGAGACCGGACTATTTATAACAATATTTGAAACACACAACCAACCGGAAATTGAGACTACATTCCTTCCCACTTCGATGCAAAAAATGCCTCCCATTCCGTTCATCTAGCACTCAAATGCAAAAGCTCAGGGACGTGTGCAAATTGCTTAGAACAAAAACACTCAATCGAAGGAACCCTTTATACTTCTGTGAACAAAACTCATAACAAAAACCAAATCCACCTATTAAAGGATCCTAGTAATAATACAATGGAACATTAAAACGTTATGCAAATAACTACATCCAACTCCTTATTTGAAAACAAGATAGAATGCTATAGTCGAGTTTCCGACTATCAGATACCAGTTACTAAGCTAGTGAAAGTGCGAACCATAAATTTCTTCATTTTCTGGAATATTTGGAATTTTCAAGACCAATTAAAAATGAAAATGTTGCTTGGCAACGTCTTTTAACAAAATTGCCTAACAAAATTGCATGCCTAATCTCAACTTTCTAGCTTTTATAGTCGGGAACACTTCTTTCTGATTGAGAAACATGAACCAGCGTCAAGCTTTAACTTATTTTCGTTAGTGTATTACAAAAATTCTTCTAAATGTAAAATATGAGAACACCAGTATTATCCCTTTATTTCAATTCTTTTCCTTCGTGTTCTGTCGAAAAATAATCATTTTGAAATTATTATTTCCTTCAATAGCGAATTTCCGATTGTGATTATATAGCTTTTTTCAATTTCTTTCATACTTCCCGTGTTACAAGCACTTGGTGAAAGGCTGTACCAGAATATTTAAATTACAA